TTTTCTCTCAACCTGGGTATGCACAACCTGCAAATTTGAGGAGGTCAATATGAAGTCCATTTGCACACGTTCTCCGTCCATTGATCGCCGGCATGTCCAACTGTCTGCGCCAAATATCGGGTCGGCGAAGCGGTTTGAAAATTGAAGCCCGTATGAAAGCCCCCATGATGCGAGCGTAATTCCACGAATGTTCCGCTCCACAAACTCCCACATTGACGGCTCGTCACCGGCTTGCAAATGACCAAGGCTAGCATTGAAGTCCCCACCTAGGACGATGACTGCATCATCACGAATACAATTATCAAGCACAAGTGACAGCACGTCATATACCTCCCCCACGGCATCATCTGAATCCCAACTTGTGGGGAAGTATACCGCCACAAAAGCAAATTTTCTGGTCCCTTTGCAACAACGTAGCAAACAAACCCGAGGCGAATAAGCATGAAAGGAAATGTTGCGTACGTCTGTCTGCCATGTCTTAGACATGCAGATGCCAACACCTTGTCCCCGTGAGCCGCCACTGGAAAACAATTTGTCCCCACGTGTTGTCTTGAACATCTCCTCGTGGGCATCCCGCCAAGTTTCACTGACAAATAAAACGTCATACGAAAGCGCATTGACCTCGACCTCACACAAAAAATCTTCAAATCTAGCTTGGTCCCTGACACTCTGCAAATTCTTGGTTACTGCATGCATCTGGTGCGTGAAACCAACAACGTCTTCGGCAAGTTGACCATGTGGATCATGAGCTGCACGCTTACCGGAAGCGATACTCCCGCGGTGCCAAGCTTTATTGCCACTGGTGTTTGCCGACTCCTACTCCATGTCATCTACGATGTCTTGGATGGCTGTTCGCACTTCTTCGCTTGCTGGGCATCCTCCGTCTGCCCAGTCCACATAACCATCCTCGTTGACCGTCGCAACATGCACCAACTTTTGCTTCATGCGCGCTGAAATCTTGTAACTGCGATAGTTGACCATGATGTCCCGTGGAGTGATGCTATCAATCTCAATCAAAAACTTTTTGATTTTGCTGGCCACCTTGCCTCGTTTCCTTTCTGTTGCCGAACGGTTCTCCGCGGCCCACAACTTTGCCTTCGGCGGGGTCCGCGGGATCGCAACGGGCGACGTCTCCCGTCGGCTAGTCTCGCGCGCGCTGGCTCAGGGCTGGGCCGACACGTTCGACCAAGCTTCACGCCCATACCAGTTCGCGCTCAAGGCTCGGGCCGGTACTGATGCATTGGCAGCTCACGTGCGCGCGTCGCTCGATATGCGGCCTGATGCCGTAGTCGTGTCGCTGGACGGGCGAAATGCTTACGACAGCATGTCCCGGGCGGCTTTCTTGTCCGCGCTGAACTCCTGCGCGCCGGAGCTGGTCCCTTTTGTGCGCATGTGGTATGGCGACCCGTCCACGTACTTCTGGTGGGACGTGGCCGGTCAATGCCGAGAGGTTTCGCAGGGCGAGGGCTGCGAGCAAGGAGACCCGCTGGCCCCTCCCGGACCTCCAATGCGCCTGGCTGCTTTTGGCCATGTGCGCGTCGCCGCGCGCCAACCATGCGTTGCGGACGGTCCCCCCCTCCGAGGTCGCCTCCTACGCCCAGTTGCACGATGATGCAGTCGGAGACCTTGGTCTCGCTGCTGGGAGGCCTTCCACAAGACGACACGGACACGGCGCGCTCTTTGGCGGGGCTCCCCGGCTGTCAGTCCCCGTCAGTCAGAACAAGTTCTCATGTTTTGCAGCCCATTTCTGATCAACCATGCAAGGTATGGCAGAATCAGAAGATTTTGTGTTCCACAGGTGGAGTGGCTGTGTTTAAGACCGAGCGGCCATCCGCACACCTTGCGCATGTCTACACCGACTTTGACTAAGAGAAATGTAGTATTCATTATCATGATGATAATAAGGATAATAATAAGGAGAAAAAGAATAATCGTAGTAAGAAATTGAACTCCTTCCGAATTGTTGAGCCACAGCTACCCAAGAGCCATGGATCCACATGGCGTGCTTGGCGTGGCAAGCTCTGCCACTTGCGAGGAGATCCAGAAGGCTTACAAAACCCGAGCAAAAGAAATACATCCAGACAAGCGTCCAGCTGACGAGCAGGAAACAGCTACCCAAGAGTTTCAGCAGCTTTTGCAAGCCTATGAGACCCTCATGAGGGCTGCGCCGACAGCTGCGGGGGGTGGACGGCCGCAGCCAGACAACATGGCAAAGCATGGAACTGCTTTTAGCCATGTTGCTTTGGACACTTTCTTCCTCCCGCGAGATTTTGGCCAAATTTCACCTGGTGAAGACGACGATGCCAATGCTGACATACTGGCAAGTGTTGAAAGGGTTTCAGACACTTGGTGCGAGCCATTGAAGGGCATCATTTCCTCATTGGTGCACCGACCGACCAAGTACTTCATGCTGGAAAAGCTGCAAGCTCTTCAAGTGAAGCAAGCAGCGGCATTCTGGCTGCGAGCACAGAATGCCGTCCTGCACATCGAACGCTTTGCAAGCGACATGGCCATGGTACGGGCCTGGCGTGTGCAGCTTCCTTCGGCTGAGGTGAAGAAGATGCTTCCGCCCTGCATGGCTGTGCCGGCGATTGCGACGCGGGCACGCTGGGAGCGAGTAGCGCATGAGGCGTTCTGCCAAGTGGCGGCATTTTTGGCCATAGAAGAGCTGCCACAAGCTGCGGCGCAAGGAGATGATCCGTCTTTGCCAGTGGTGATCATTGACTACTTGCTGCCCGTGGTTTGTGGTGAAACAGTGGACCTATCTACCTGCAAGTTTCTTTGGAAGAAGGCAACTCGACACATTCGTTCGTGTGTTTGGTCATCCTTGACCCGCCTAGTGTGTGTTGAGATGTGGGAATTCGGAAACATTCAGACAGCAGAGCACATGTTCCTGGCAGAACATTTTCTTTTTCCTGCGTATTCCAAGCTTTTCGCGCCTTGAGTCCATGATCAGAACTGCAAATATGTGCAAAAAATCAGCAACTCGCGGCGTCATTCAATCTTTGACTTCATTTCTGCCTTACTCCGGGGCACCCCTTTTCTCTAAACCGACAAAGTTTCACCTGTCAATCTGAGGTGAGGGACGAAGTGCGCCTTCAAGGAGGACGTCGTGTTGCAGCTTGGTCCGCTGTAAAGAGCCTCTTGCACTTCGAGTGCTGCCGCCTCGAGCTAGGAGCCCAGACCTATAAGACGCTCGGCATCGGGTAAAACTTGCAGAAACAGCTGTTCTACAGCTCTTTTCCATTGTTGTTCCCCAGCATCGCGCAGCAACCTGCGCAACCACAGGGCCTTTTAGAGAGCGACTTAGCACCAACATCTTCGAAAGCCAACAGGTCCTGCATTTGCAGATGAGAAAACAGGGCGGCATGATCTTTGAGCAACTCATGTATGTCCGCCACCCATGCCGTGCCGTCCCATATACTCCACAAGTATATAGAAAGACACTTGATGATCTCATGTGTGAGAGCCTGGCAATGACACCAAAAACGGATGTCCAGAAAATATCCCACAACTCTTCGCTGGGAGCTAAGCAAACCCGCCAAGACATGCTTATGAGGAAGGCTCAGGTTGCGCAACGTAGCTTCGGACTTGCCCCGTTTCTTTTCTTCAGCCAAGCGCATGGCCCACACACGCAATGCAAAGGCTGGCCCACACACGCAAAGCAAAAGGCCGTCAATTGATACCAGCCTCCTGAGCATCTGTTTTGGTGAAGTTCTGTTCGCAATGTTCGCCCAGTCTTGTTGCCAAACCCAGGACTTTGATCCTCCAGGTGCATTCGGAAGCTCTGAGCTACGTCGGCGCCTTGAGCCCCTCTGCTCAGTTGGAGGCATGTCGCAAGGTCGCCCGTCGTGCCGCGAAGTTGGACGGATGCAGTGGTGTGGCGGCGGCGGATGCGGTGTCCATCAGGACGGGTGCTGAGTTGTTGGTCCATCGCGCTATTGTCCTGTTGCACTTGGGTGTTGAGAACCTCCTTTTGGTTGGGCTGAGAGGAGTCCATTAGCTCGCTGCTTGTAGGAGCACGTTGGAGATGGTGCAGGAAAAGGTCCAGGCAGCTCTTGGTGTGCTCCAGCGTGACTGGAACGCGGTTTGTCAGGAATTGGTGCCTGCTCGGGTGGATGGTGATCGGCTTTGCTTCGCCCGCGATGTTGAGCATCAACTACTCTCTTCCATGCCGATGATCACCAAGCTCCTCGCCACTTCCCGTCCAAGCAACACCAGCCAGGTAGGGTAGTCGAAGAAAAGGTAATGCAGGCATCTTACACACATTGTCCACTGACTGTTTCTTTTTTGTAACATTTCAGGGTGGCAGGTCTTGTTTGCGGAGATCATGATGTGTGGGGCTCCATGTCGTTCCATGCAGCCCTAGCATTCATCTCGGCACCCTAAACCCTAAACCCTTAATCCTAAACCCTAAACCCTAAACCCTGGGAGGTGGCGAACCCACGCGGCATGCCTCGTGCGAGCAACCAATCGATTGAAGCGCACGCCCAACTCCTTGCAGCGCACGCGTCAGACCCATTTGCTTCCTTGACGGCCTTGCGGGATGCAGAGGAGTATATCTTGCAGGCACCTTGTTGAAGTCGATGATGTGCGTGTGGTTTTTGGGAAGGCATGTCTTTCATTAGCTTTTATCTTTGCTTTTTTAGTGCACGAGCAGGTCTGGTGGCAGGATCCCCAGCGGCTCGCTGCTCAAGTTCTGGGCTTGCGGCAGCAGCCCGGTTCGGTCTCAAAAGTTTTGAAAGATTGAAGTCAACAAGCCAAGATACTTAGAGGGAAGCACCCGAAATCACCCGAAAACTAAATAAATGCTGTACCAGAACAGAAAGGGGTGCGAGAACTGTTTATTTTGCATGCTTCAGTTTTTTCTGCGTTGCCCTGCGCTTGATTACATTCGATGCCTACAGCTGAGGCTGCTGCCCAACTATTTGGCCCAAAGTTCTGCCCTGTACGCTGGAGACGCGGAGGGCCAGAGCAGGAGGGTCCTTTTCGGCACATGCATGGCTCTCCTGGTGGATCGGCACGCATGCATCAACTTTCCGATGCTGCGAGGGCACAAGGTTGGGGTTGATATGGGCATGCTGAGCAGGTTGCTGGTGCCTCTACCGAGCCACAGGAGGCTCTTGGACAGCTTGGAGAAATATGTGTGGAGCAGGGATGAAAAGGCCACGTACCCGGCCACCATCGAGCCCAACGTGAGCTCTGCATCCTTTGCCGTGAGGTTTCATTCAACATCCAACGATGCAGAGAAGGTGCGACTGGACATATTGGAGCAATGCAGAAAGAACCAAGTCGAGAAGAAGAAAGAAGTTGCGCAGAAACTTCAACAACACGAAGGGCTTATTTCCTTGGCCGGAGCAAAGCAGAGCGAGGCCAATGGCCTCTTTTGCCAATATACAAGGCGTAGATTGGCTCAATAGTTGAGATCAGGTTGAGATTGATTGCACGTTGTTTTTCGGTTTCATTTCGTGTGCGTCGTTTTTGTGTTTTGTTGTTCATCTGGTTTTGGGAGCTACTTGACCTGGCAAGTCTCCGAGGTTGGTGCAGCTACTACCAGCGCTACAACAACGAACATGACAGCAGCTGCAGGAAGTGCTTGCTCCAAAGCGAAGCTTCCAATCTCCAGCACGAAGCAGAGAACATCAAAGTGACTTTCTATGAGAAGCTTCTCCCTCAGTGTGAGGACATGCAGCGGGCCATCGTCTATGACCTGCTTCTTCCGGAGATGCTGGCGCTTCACCGTGATGCCATGTTCATGTTGGCTCAGGTTTGTGTGCCACGAGACCTCACTCAGCGAGCCAATGCATCATCATGGAGGGATGATTATGTTTTGAGTACTTGGCGTAAACACCTGGAGTTGATCTCAGTTCTAGGCGCGACACGCCAGAAGTTTCAGTGCACCCAGCACATACTGGAGCACACGACATTCATTGTGAACAACAAACGTGATACAGTCCTCTTGCTTCACCATCAGCCTGTGAATGCTTCGTTGGTTTGGTGCGTGACAGATCTCACATTGCTAAAGACCATGGATGAGCCATATGTGTCGCTCCAACCTTTCATTTTCTCCTGGGAGCATGATGAAAACATGGTGATCGCGGGCAAGTCAAGTGCGCATCCAGCTCTCAACTTGCTTGAGTTTGAGGCATATGGTCAGCTGCGTGCAGGTATTTCCCTTCAACTGCCGCGCTTGCTGCGTGCCATTGAGCAGCGGACGTTATCATTTCAACGTCAGGGTGTGGTTGATGTGTTGAAGGCATTGTTGTGGCAAGCTGGGCCTCCATCCAGGCAGAACATTGCATTGGATGCTCTCGTGCCCAGAATTGTAGCAGAGTCGGATGACTGGCTCCGGATGAATTTGCAGATTCTCAACACGGCTGACTTTGCTGAGAAGCTTTGCAAGCACATGACCCGCCTCCTAAAGCATTCAGAGGACAACTGGTCGAGCGACAAGGTCCTCCTATGCATCTGCCACATTGCACGCTGCATAGCCGAGCACTCACAAGCAGGCCGGGGCTCGGCTTTGCGAAACGTTTCGCAAGTGTAAAATGCTTGTGTTGCAAGGTCTGAATTGTTAAGGTCGCCGCGTGCCATTTGGCTTGAGTAGTGTGTGGACACACTGGTGTTGTTGTTTGCGGATAGGTCTGCTAGGTGGTGTTGCATGCGTACCTTCGCCTTGCTTCGGTTGCGCCGAAGATGCCCGGTAACAGTTCGTAGCACCTGCTTCACTTGTTGGTTTGCTGCAAGGTGCCGATGCAGCCCAGACTTTGTTGCTGGAGAGCAGGAAAGTTGGCATCCGTTGGCTTGCTGAAGTCAGAGATGTGATGAGCCGCGTTGACAATGCGGAGTTGGTCAAGACGCACCTTGCTTGAATTGCAGAGAAGCTTGCCAAGCTCTCAATACAGGTTTTGAACAACCGGGCACGGCTTGGTCGGACTGAGTATATCGGTTGGGCAATGTTGGCCCTCAAGACGTGCCACTTAAGTTCGATAGGATGATGACATGTGACCCAATCTATGATCAAGTTGTCTTGTCGTTTGCAGTGTTTTTTTGCCTCCTGGGCAGTGTGGCTTTTCAATCATGGTTTTAAGGCTGCGGCTGAAGCTGGTGGACATCGCTGCCTCCGTTGCCTTGACCTTTCGCCCAGAGGCCAGGACAAAGAACCCCGAGACCCGAAAACCCCACAACCCTAAACCCTAAAAACCTTAAAACCCTACACATAACCCTAGAACCTCAAACCCTATATAAACCAGGCCAAGACTGCCGTCACGGGGAGCAGCTTGAAGGACTGGCTGACGGCACGCGCCGTGGGATACGACAACATCCTGCTGGGTGCTGTTCAAGTGCAGTGTATGGAGCCTGCCAGGAACCTGGGCGTTGGTAAATTTCACCGGGTACTAGATGAATCATCCCCATTGACCCCTTATTGGTATTTGGCTATTTGACTGTGCATTTTCTCCGAGCGTCCGTGCATTCCGTCAAGAGCAAGCAACCGCAAATGTTGCAAGTGTTTCCCTAAGCAGACGAAATTACACTTCTCGCAGCGGTGTCGATCTGAGGAAGAGGATTCTCTTCCAGGCCATGAGGATTGCCTTAGAGTTGGAGACCCAGCTCCACGTCATCATCTCCACGACGACTGCGCTCTCCGCGTGGCTCTTCGACCATTGGAGTGACTCTCGGGGTGGTGAGGTCGGGGCTTGGGAACGCTATCCAGCACCCGCTGAAAGCTGGTATTCTGCAACGTTCCACCGCGCAGGGCACCAGAGCATCATTCAGGTGGATGTGTTGGGAGGCGCCTTTCTGGTGAATGGGCGGCCTGTTGGTCGCTTGCCAGAGCAGATTTCAGAAAGCGAGTGCTATGTCAGGTTGTTCCGGGATAGCATCTTCGATGTGCAGCCAGCACATGGTGGACGAGGCTACAAAACCAGAATCATGGGGGGCGCCTGCTTCGGGTTTGACTTGGAGGAAGATGGCCAGGTCATTATTACAGAGGAGAGGGAAGTTGAGGGTCAGCTGGTGAAGGCCACCCTGGTTCCACACCAAAGCTTTCAAGGTGACCTGCCCATCTCATTCGTGGAAGATTACAGCCATTGGCTGGTGAGAGGCAAGGGTGGGAAAGCTTCCGTGTACTTCCGGCCTATCCAGTTCGACCACCCGGACAATCAGTATGGTTGCTCAGTCCGCGGCGCACCTTATGTGCTCCACGTCGACTCCATGATGGTCATCCGGAGCCAGGACAGCTCCAAGTTGGTGGATGTCCGAAGCGACACATTTCACGCGATTTCTTCGGTGCTCCGCCGCTTGGAAGACCCAGACCACATTCACATCTTTCGCAACGATGCCAAAGCTCCTGAAGCCATTTTGCCCAGGCGTTTGTTGGAAAGGGGTGCATGGGGTGCTGGGCAGTCACTGGCGGTTGTATGGATCTTCCAATCTTTGCGGTATGGGCTGACTCATGACTTTTGAGTCTTGAGGCTGTGTCATGGAAGGGGGTCCCACCAATCAACTTCAGGCAGTGTGCGCGAGCAATTTCCATGCTAGACGTTGAATGTTCCTCGCTCGCCTCAGGCTGCAAAATTTGCATTTCCAGATCATCGCGGGGCGATCTGTCCGCATCATTTCCCGTGAGTTTGGCGGAGAAGTGGCAGCAGACCAAAACATCGGCACCCTGGTGGGGCTTCAGCATGGCTTGCTACTGGAAACGACCCACGAGAAGAAGTTGCTCCTGCCTCATTCGGAGGTGCTGAGGGAGATCCATGGCAACCATTGCCTCGTGAAGATGAACCTAGGTCATCTCCTGAATCCACCGGTGTTTGTATACTCTGTCCGCGAAGATCTTCGAGAGTTGAGGGGCCAGAAAGATCGCGTGGCCTGGCTCTACCTTGCTAAGTTGCATGCGCTGACATCCCATGTGCTCCGAGATCCGTTTACGTTGCGAACTGGAACAGAAACATCTTTGGGTCTCCTTCGATCGGCTCGATGCAGAGGGAACTTGTCCAATGGTGCTGACGTTCCTCGTTCCGAGGCAGAAAGAACCTTGCAGGAAATTGCCAGGCTGTCCCCAGTGCGACAAAGCAAGAACGGCGCCGAGGTCGTCAATTTCCAGCAGTTCTGTGCGCTCTGCGCACATGAAGGCTTCGCTTTTCTTGCACGTGACGCCCTGCAGGAGATTTCGGAGCAACAAGCCCTTTCAGGTTTGCAAAGTCACCACCAACCTCAATATTGTTTGGAGAGGTGCGGCAGCTTGGCCCAAAGGGCATATTTCCGCAGCAGTGAGATCTTCGGCTTGCCCGGGCGTTTGGAAGCAGAGGAGGAGGCGGCGGCTGCGCAGCCATGTCGGCCGTGGCAACCAGAACCTTGGCACGAGAGCTTAGGAGGTTGCCAAGAGGTCAGGGACGTTGCGTTCGTGATTTTCGGCAAGACTTTGGCGCCGCCGCCTGAGAGAAGGCCTTGCTTGAAGAGTCTCCTGCTTACCAATCAAAGTTTGCAAGGGTGCGGCAACGTGTCCTGTGAAGAGCAGAGTGTGGGCACGTGGGAGCTTATGAGTGGGGATGGTCTGCGACATTGGTGGTTGACTTTCTTTCGGGCTGCAAAGCGAGGAAGCAAGGAGAAATGCAGCTTCATGCTGGCTTACTTTGCTTCCCGATGGCCCCATTGTGTGGCTCACCTACAAGTGTTGGCCAGCATTTGTTTGCACAGCAACGACTTCCGAGCCTTGGATCCTCCGGCTTATTCATTGTACATACAGCCGAACGAGAGGGACTTGAATGCCAACACAGTCCAGGGCATCATCCGGAGGCACCTGAGGCCCTTCAAAGAAGCTCGGCCCCAAAGACCCACCCATCGTCAGCAAATCCAAGCTGATCAAGAATATAAGGCCAGGAAACAGGAACACAACCATCTTTGTGCCGAAAGCCTCCAGCGGTTGCAGGGTGTAGTCAACCAGAGGTGGCTTCAGAAGCTACGAGCTGTGCAGGTCCATGACTGTGAAGACCACATGGTCCAGAACGCTTTGGCGCTTGCAGGGGAGTTGAATGGATGCTTTGAACGCTGGTGGCGGGCAGCTGAATTGCATGCGTTTCTGGAGCAGGTGGAGAACACAATTCAGCAGTTCGGAGGCGCTTCCTTGCGGAACTTGCTGCCGTGGTCCAGTCGTGCTGTTTGGGGAAGCTGCCCGGCCGAAACTCGGACGCTGCCGCCACCCGCTTGCAGAGATGCCTTTAACCTCTCCGAGCCTCTCCCTTCAGAGCTGGAAGAGCATCCTTTGGATGATCTGTGGGAGGCAGGAGCACCGAAAGAACAGTTTGTGTTGAAGCCGACACCGGCCTTTCAACCACCCCCTCGGCGGTCAGCGGAACTGCAGTTGGCGAGAGACGAAGGCTGTTCTGCCATCTACGCGGAGCTTAGCAAGCCACTGCACGAGAGTTGGCGCCTGGCGCAAGAGATGAAGTTGCCTCAGATCTCTGATGGTTGTTTTCCGACCACATTGAGCGACGACCTGCAAGCTGCGCTGGAAGCAAGGCAGAAGGAGACAGATGGTGCCTGGCAGCGCGTGCTTGAAGCCATGCATGGCCAGGGACGGTTTGATGCTTTGATGAGGAGCTGTGGGTTACTTGAAGAACCAGCTCCGCTCTACGTCCTTTCCAGGCTTCTCAGGGAGGAAGGTCAGTTGACGCAGGCGCCCATGCACATCACGCGAGGTGAGTGATTCCAGATGTCATGTTGTGTCAGAGTAGTATGAACGAAATCATGAAGGAACATGCGTGTGTCATCACATGTGTGTCTTCATCTTTCCATCGGTGCCTATGTCCTGTTTCCGCACCCAGAGGGGCGTGCAACCGGGCAGGTCATTGGCTCCTACGCTGTCGCCCTGCGTGCGCAACAGCGCATTCTTCGATGCTTGCGGTTGCGAGAGAGGCCCGACATGGCTCCATGGCTCGCGCGCGAGCTGCAGCAGGCGAGCTCCGGGTGTGTCAACTGGAGGCCGCGTGAGCAACCCGCTTGGTTGCTTCTGGAGGTTGACAACGAGCCCTGGCAGTTGATCATTGGCAGTGTCGGAAGCAAGAACACCAGATGGCATCAGATGGCTTGATACCTCTGATCCATCTGCAATATTCTGTAGTCTCATGCCTTAGAAGGCAATTCGCAAAGGTGTGTCCCAAAAACAGCAATCCCCCCAACCGGGGTTCCCTTGCATGTGTGCGATGTTCATCACGTGTGCTTCCCAAAAAACACCACATGCACGCACATCTGATTCCCGAATGTTTGGGCTGTGGTTTTTTCTCGCTTCGTCGCCGTTACTTTGCACATCGCCGAGGATTTTTGCATCCGCGAGCAGCAGGCCGCTGTGGCCGCACAGCTCATCAAGGCACCGTGGAACCAACTGCTGCAGCTGAATATGGGCGAGGGGAAGCCGCTTGTTATCAATTGGCCAACAAAAGGTTTTGGAGATGTTGTTTATTCTCCACATATTTCTCGCAACATAAGCAAGTGTTTGCAGCAAAGCCCCAGGAAAAGGTTTTGAAGACTGCTATTTTTCCTTTGGGATTTTCGGAGAGCTTCAAGAATTCCTTCAAAATTGTGCATTTTAGCTACCGCTGTTTTGGCTTTTCGCATGATATTGCGCAACTGCATACGATGATGCACATGCATATTGAGAAAAGTAGGTACAGGATTTTTGTCCATACATAACCGCTGCGTTTAGGCAGCGTGGGTGCCTGAGTGGAATTCTCGCCCGGAAATGCTGGGCCCCGATCTCCACTGGGACAACGGATTTTGTAGGGCATCCGTCCTGCGCAAAAACTTGTGAGACATGTCATCTTTGAAATTCTGAGACATATTGCAAACATTTGTCAGCATGCTCCTGAAACGAAGTGGGCAAACACATTCTGTGTATCACAGGTTCATGGTTTTGTTTTCTTGGTTTCTGAACCTATCGAGATACGGCTGTTCATGGCCCTTGGCAAAACCTAGACGAGGGTTCGTTGTTGCGACGCACCGATGGCAGAGCGAAGCCACCGATATCCACCGATGAACTAGCGTGTCCCGGAGAATTTGTTAAACCTCCATGCCTTCCCGTCTCTCTATCCTTCTCTATATTATACACACATACACACACATATATATATATATGTATTTTTCCCAGAAAGACTACATACATATATATACACACATACGGAAAATTTGCACACACACACACATACACACACACGCACACACACACACACATATATATATATATATGAGCCCGCCGCCTTTAGGGTCTATTTAGCTTTGGGTTTTTCTTATTGCTTAAAAAGAGCGAATATAAATATCGTAATACAAAAATACATATTTACACCTACATATGGCACGCAAATCTCATGCCCAGCGGTTCTAGGCCTAGCCGCACGCCATTACGAACTGCGAATTTCTGGTTGTTCTTATTTTCATTTGTTTCTCTTTGCTATCTGTGTATGCGTGTTCTTTTTTCAGCCTGCGTGAAAAAGTCGCTGTTTGGCTGCGGCAGAAGGGAAAGAGAAGTGAGAGAGGAGAGACAACAAGGAGGCCATTTTAATTTTCTGGAAGGGTATTGATTGAAAAGAAGAGAAGAGACAAGAAACAAGGAGACGGATGGCACTCTTCTTTATCTATCATCTCTCCCTTCCTTGCCTCTCCCATTTCCCTCTATAATTCAAAAGACAAGACCATTCTTGCTCTTCGCAGATCAGAGGAGAGATCAAAAGGAATGCAATTTTAATGGGAAGAGCAATGAAAAGAATGGAAGAGAAATGAAGACAGGAGAGGGAGGTGCAAAATCAGGCTAAGAGAAGATGGTGCTCGTTTTCATCTTTCTTCTCTTGCTCTTTTCCTTTTCAAATAAACAACAAAAGGAAGAACAATGAACATGCAAAGGAACCCGTTTTCTTTTTCCATGTGGGAACAAGGAAAGAACAGAGGCGATAAGGCGAGAGGAGGGATTTGCTGAAGCATGGGGAGGGTCTACGGACAAGGAGCCAACCCCGCTCACTTTCCCCATCCATTGAAACAGGAAAAGAAAGGAACAGGGCCTCCATTCCCCTCTTGTTCTTCCTTTCTTGTGTTTTTGTCACATCAAGGGGAACAGGAGAAGAGAAGGGAGAAAGAAGGAGAGAGGAGAGACAAAAAGGATTGCATTTGTACTGGGAAGAGCAAAGAAAAGAATAGAAGAGAGATGAATAAAGGAGAGGGAGAGACAAAATAAGGCGCAGAGAAGATGGCACTCTTCTTTATCTATCCTCTCCCCCTTATCTCTCCCTGCCCTCTTTCTTTTCGAAATAAGAAAACAAAAAGGAAGAACTATGAGAAGGAGAAGGGGACGGAAAGGAATAGAAGGGATAGGCCGATAGGAGGGGGTATGGCAAGGTCCACGCGCAAGGAGTCACCCTCTGCTTACCCTTCCACTGCCTTATCATACAAGTTCCTTTCTTGCGCTGTATCAGTTGAAAGGAAACAGAAGGAGAGAAGGGAAAGGGAAGTGAGAGAGGAGAGATGACAAGGATGGCATTTTTCTGGAAGCGCAACTGTACCGGAATGTGGCCACAATAAGCAGGCCAGGGAGACTCAGGCGGGGCAACTGTAGCGGAATGTGGCCACAACAAGCAGGCCAGGGAGGCTCAGGCGGGGCAAGTCTCTCCATAATTAGAAAAAAACCAATCTTGCTCTTCGCAAATAGATAAGTGCCCTTCTTCCTCTTCAGGAAATCGCCTTTCCCTTATTTTGCTTTCTGAAGCGAATAAGAAAAAGAACAGATAAGAAGAAAGGACAGGGAATGACTAGGTAAAGAGAGGAGCTCTTCAATTTTGCATTACTTTTCCTTCTTGGGGGGTCCTTTTTTCTCCCTTGAAGATGCAGAAAACTCTCAAAAGGAACACCCGTTCCATCGCCCATTTACTCTTCCCTTCCTTATCTCCTATGCTCTTTTCCTTACTCATTGCAACAGGAGAAGACAGGAAAAGGGCCTCCATTCCCCTCTTGTTCTTCCTTTCTTGTGTTTTTGTCATATAAAGGGGAACAGGAGAAGAGAAGGGGAAGAGAATGAGAGAGGAGCGATGAAAGGAACACACTTTTAATGGGAAGAGCCAAGAAAAGAATGGAAGAGAGATGAATAAAGGAGAGGGAGAGACAAAACAAGTTGCAAAGAAGATGGCGCCCTTCTTAATCCATCCCCTCTCCCTTATCTCTCCCTTCCCTTTTTCTTTTCGAAATAAGAAAAACTAAGCAGGAAGAATTATGAAAAGGAGAAGGGTAAGGAAAAGAGCAGAAGAGATAGGCCGAAAAGAGTGATATGATGAAGTATGGCAAGGTCCACACTCAAGGAGTCACCCTCTGCTTACCCTCCCACTGCCCTTATCATACAAGTTCCCTTCTTGTGGTTTATCAGCTAAACGGAAACAGAAGGAGAGAAGGGAAAGAGAAGTGAAAGAGGAGAGACAACAAGGATGCCATGTTAATTTTCTGGAAGGGTATTGAAAAGAAGAGAAAAGACAAGAAACAAGGGGACGGATGGCACTCTTCTGTATCTATCATCCTTGTCTTTCCCTTTTCCCTCTATAATTAGAAAAACAGGCGCCCTCTCTCGTCTTCAGGAACCCGTTCACTTTTTCCGTTTGGGAACAAGGAAAAGAACAGAGGCGATAGGGCGAGAGGAAGAATTTGCTGAAGCATGGGGAGGGTCTACGGGCAAGTAGCCAACCCCGCTCACTTGCCCCATCCATTGTGAAAAGAACAGGGCCTCCATTCCCCTCTTGTTCTTCCTTTCTTGCGTTTTTGTCATTTAAGGGGGAACAGCAGAAGAGAAGGGAACGAGAAGGAGAGAGGAGCGATGAAAGGAACACAATTTTAATGGGAAGAGCCAAGAAAAGAATAGAAGAGAGATGAATAAAGGAGAGGGAGAGACAAAACAAGGCGCAAAGAAGATGGCACTCTTCTTTATCTATCCTCTCTCCCTTATCTCTGCAAGGAATAGAACAGACAGGAAGCAAGGAGACGGAGTGACAAAACTTGTCGCAAAGCTTTATATATCTCCCTTGTCTCTCCCTAATTAGAAAAAACCAATCTTGCTATTCACAGATAGATAGGTGCCCTTCTTCCTCTTCAGGAAATCGCCTTTCCCTTATTTTGCTTGTTGAAGCGACTAAGAAGAACAACAGATAAGAAGAGAGGACAGGGAATGACTAGGTAAAGAGAGGAGCTCTTCAATTTTCCTCCCTATCTCTTATGTTACTTTTCCTCCTTGGGGGATGTCCTTTTTTCTCCCTTGAAGATGCAGAAAACTCTCAAAAGAAACGCCCGTTCCATCGCCCATTTACTCTTCAATTCGCTTCCTTATCTCCTATGCTCTTTTCCTTATTCATTGCAACAGGAGAAGACAGGAAAGGGGCCTCCATTCCCCTCTTGTTCTTCCTTTCTTGTGTGTTTGTCATATAAAGGGGAACAGGAGAAGAGAAGGGAAAGAGAAGGGGAGAGGAGCGATGAAAGGAACACAATTTTAATGGGAAGAGCCAAGAAAAGAATGGAAGAGAGACGAATAAAGGAGAAGGAGAGACAAAACAAGTTGCAAAGAAGATGGCGCTCTTCTTAATCCATCCCCTCTCCCTTATCTCTCCCTTCCCTTTTTCTTTTCGAAATAAGAAAAACTAAGCAGGAAGAATTATGAAA